AAGGTACAAAGGGAATCTAACACGCTGCCTGTTTAATTTAGCAATAGATAAGGTATGTCAACAGGACCAAACTTTTCATAAAAGTATTTCTAAAACCTGGCTGTCTTACTCGCATGAAGAAATGAATAGTAGTTTTGATAGTAGTTTTACAAAAAGCATAGAAACAGTTTTATATGATGTCAATTAAAGAATGAAAGACAAGGGTTGGCAGGGTGGGGAAATTACTATTGGATGGGCACAGAGTTTCAGTTTTGCATGATGGAAAGTTGTGCACATAGATGGTGGTGATGACTCCACAGCAATGCTAATTAAATTAATATCACTGAACTATACACTTGAAAGTGCTTAAAATGGAAAATTCTATGTTATATGTATTTTGCCCATAATTAGAAAGCTCAAAGAAAAAGATTTTAGGACTCAAGAAGTAGAATGAAAGCTTCTTCACATACTCTCCCTTTTCCCATTCAATATCAAAATGAAAAAGGAAGGAAAGAAGACAGACAGTAAATAAGTAGGTAGCTTTGTTCTCCAGCAACAAAGACATAGGACATACAGGCCAAAGTCATAAACTTCAAAAGGCTCATTCTGAAAAAGTAGATTCTGAAGCAGAATGCAGCAGCTGTTTGGCAAAGCTCCTAGGTTGGCCTTGATGTACCAGAAGTCATAGAGATGACATGCCAATTCTTGTTAATACCCCAAACCTGGGGAGAAAGAAATTGAATGAATTCTATTTTTTTCCCCTCTTCTTACTGGAAGATGAAGAGCTGTGGCAGAGAATGAGTAAAACAGAAGAGAACTCTGGCACTTTCTCAAGAGAAGTAAAGATTCTAGGGGAACACAATGAGGGCCCTCCCAGTTACAGGGAGGTAGAGGTAGGAATGTGGTCTGAGATCAGCTAGGAGAAAAGGAGGAGACCCTATCTGAAAAACAAACTAAAAGAAGAAGGACTGGAGCATGCCTCAATAGGCCCTGAGTTCAATCTCCAGTACTGCCAACAATGGAAGTAAGAAAAGAAGGAGAGAGAGAGAGTAAGAAAGAGGCATACAAGAGCGCAAAAACCCAGAAAATATAATGCAATGAATGCAAAGGAATTCTTCACAAATGCTTCAGGATTTGGAACTAACTGAGAATGTGAATACAGTAAACAAGAACTAAAGAGACAAGATGAAAAAAAAAGATTAAAAGGAAGTCTGAAAATTAAACACATTATCAAACTTCTACCATAGAATAACTAAGAAACACAAAGGGAGAGAATATTCATAACTGAAAACAAATTAAGGCACAGAGGAGCTAAGATAAACAGAAAATACAGATTTTCAGAGAACAGAAGGGCAGAACAGGTTTGGGGAAGGGTGAGTTGGTAACAGTGGGAGGGGGAGGAGGTGGGGTAATGGTGAAGGTGGTGAATATGGTGTAAATACTGTGTATACATGTATGCAAGTGGAAAAATGATATCTGCTGAAACTATTCTGGGAATGGGGAAAGGGAGATGAAGGAAAATGGTGGAGGGGGTGAATTCAAGTACACCTATCTATCTATCTATCTACCTATCTACATATTTGATATGTTGTAAGAACTTTTGTAAATACTACAATGCACCCCCACTCAGCACAATAAAAAAAGAAAGAAATACAGATTTTAATAAACAGAGATTAAAGTAGTCAGAGGAAAATAAATGAAATTTAGGACAAGGTAATCCAACCTTAGGAAAATTAGTGTTCCTAAATATAAAAAGGAAGAATAGCACGCAAGCAGACAAGAAAGAAAGTGGACATACATAGAGACAAAGCCCAAAGCGACAAGCTTTCAAAGTGATAGACAAGAAGAGAAACAAAAGATTGTGAAACACAACAGAGCAGCCTCATTTGGCAGGGCCTATAATCTCACTGAGAAGCCACAGAGACAAATCAACATAACACAAGAAAAATAAAAGATATTCACAGATATCTATCTTGGTCCCCTCCACAAGCAGGGTCTGAGAAAGAGACTTTGGTATAGGAGCTTATTTGGGAGAGTGAAGAGGGTGAGAGGGAAGGAGAAAAAGTTAATTTAAGGATTTGGGCTTGGCTCAAGTGGTAGTATGCCTGCCTCGCAAGCAGGAGGTCCTGAATTCAAACCCCAGTGCTACTAAAAAAAAAAAAAAAAAATCCAGCCAATTACGAGTACATTGCAGACCAACTGAAGAACCATTACTTTGGAGATAATAGTTGCTTCCCACTTTAACAATGTCCAGATCAGTGACTGTTCTTAATTATCCATATAACACAGGCACCCAGGCCGTAAGTCCTAACAATCACTCTTCAGAACTGCAAATTACTTAAATTGTCAATCAGCCCTGGTAGCCTTCACTTCTTACTCTTAATACAACCAGGTCAGGCTCTTTGTGTTTGCCACAAAGAGCAAGTTTACATTCCACATTTGCAGAAAGTTTCCTCAGGAATAGGACTGGATTGGCTCCAAGATGCAAAAAATGAAATAAATAAGGTAATATCTGAAACACTAGGATTCAGAAGACATATGGGAAGACAAGTTATTACTAATTGTTTATAATGAAAGAAACTTAGCATGGCTCTCACACAAGTTGTAGTTTTTAAGCAGAACTGAATGCTATTGGTCTTCTAAAAATAATTATATCATTCAGCTTCACATAACTGTAATGAAATACATGATACAGATTACTGAGGAAGTAAAGAAAGATTATTTTGGCTCATCATTCTGGAGGTTCAAATCCAAGATCAGGTGGCCTCAAGGACTTGAGCCTCTGGTAAGTGTAGCATATCAAGTTGGAGGGAAGGATGCAGCAAGTGCTTACATTTTCAGCCAGGAAGCTGAAAGAAAGGAGCCACAGTTCTACAGCTTCTTTTGGGGGGAATGCCCTCAATAACCTAAGAACCACCCATGAGGCTTTACCTCTTAAAGGTCTATAGCATTTTCCAACACTGCCACCCTGAACACCAAGCCATTACATATGGACCTTTGGGGGATGCTCATCCAAACAGCAGCTGTATAATTCAGTCAGTCATGTTGTTAATCTAAATGTGGATGACTACCTTCCCAACAAAATATTTCATTTTAGGACTAGATAACAAATTGTTAAATAAATTTAATTGCTTCTCGAGGCAATACCTGAGAGCTGACAATAAAACTCATCAGTGAAATCTAGAGGTCTGTCTTCTTATTCACTGTTGGCAGTTTTTCTCCTCTATTAGGTTATGAAGGGACAAGTTAATGAAGAGAACTTAAAGCCACTTATAATATACCAGCTACACAACAATGAAATACAATTTGTGATCTCCATCTGAAAAAAAAGCCAACAAAACTGCCCTATACACTATAAAGCATTATATTAAGGTCATGTGAATCCAAGAACTATACTGTGGATATGTATGATCAGCCTTGTTCTTAGAGAAAACCCAATTATTTGATCTTTCTAGATCTCAATTTGCTCAATTTAATAATAATATATTATGTAAACTATATCATAGTGTTGCAATGGCCTCAAGTCTCAATGTAAAGTAACTGGTACAAATATATACTCAATTAATATGAATTCCAGTTTCTCCATTTACTATCAGTACAAGACTAGATAGAGTCTCTGCAGAATTAAACGTGTATCTGATCATAGCACTATTCTGACCTAAGAGCTTAGGTCCAAAACTACCTAGCCTGGAAATAGTTGGCTAATTACATTAACATGATTTTATTATTTCTTTTACCTTGATAAGAACTTTCTGAAAAATCCATCAGTTATTCAATAGAAAGTCAAACATCAGCAGTTTATGCCTTAAGGCACGCTGCACTCCTTGCCATGCCCATTCCACCAATCATAAACTGTTGTATCAGTATTTAATTCCCCTCAAGCCATTATCCCAAGCCTCCTCTTGCCTCTGTCACTGAAAAATCAGCCTTCAGTCATACTTCAAATCCTCAATAAGTCTGATCTTATTTTCCCAAATTGAGGCACTAACAGGGCTCTGATGGGGTGGTTTTACCTTCACCGCAGCAAGTAATAGTCTCAGCTTTGTCTTATCAAAAGATGATGTTGGTGATATTTGAGGAGCTAGCACTGGACAGGACAAGACATCTATACGCATAAAGACAAGGCAGAGAAATTTCCCCCACAAATGCCTAGAAACAGTAAAAATGAGCTGAGGTAAATGACATACCAGGCGAAATATGCCCGCTAATATGTCTCTACTACTAAGCAGGAAATGAGTTTGTCAAGGCTACAACACAAAGTTTGCTTCCAAAATTCCACAGGTGGCCAATAAATTTTAAGAATCCTTTTTGATGAATTCCAGATCCATTCTGCAGTTTCTTCCCCCTTTCTCCTCACAGATGTTCAAAGATGACTGAATCAAGAAAAAGAGTCTCACGGATCTTTTAGAATTTACCAAAAACAATTCTAGGATAGGCAGGTTGCAGAAGAAACTGCAAGAGAAACCAGCTTTTAAGTTACACCCTTTCGAATGGCAATTGAGATCCCACATCAACTTCACTAAGTGAGAGAACACTAGTTTCTATAAGGTCTCATCATGGTCCAAGGACATTCCATCCAGGTTAAAGCATGCAACACTGCGGGCGGAAAAGGAGCAAGGGAAGCCCAAGTGCCTTTGGAGATTTACTGTTGTCCCGGAGAAAGAGATCCCCGCGCATTCCCAGTCCCCCAAGAAAGCTTGCCTCTGCAGCACCAGAGAGGGGGGAGGAGGCGGCAGAAACAAACGGGAATCGCGGAGCCCGCCCTCCCGCCAAGTGAGGACTAGCTCGCAATGGCGAATGGGCTTTGAGGTCCCAGGCTCCGCCGGGGTCCTTCTGCCAGCTCGGGAATAAATACCTGACTGGCAATCGACCTACGGAAGCCGCACGCCATCTCAAATTCCGGGCAGCACGCCCCGAACCATGGGCCCCTCTCCTCGCTCGCTCCGCCCTCCTCTGCACGCCCCGCCTCTGCACGCCCCGCCTCCGCACGCCGGAAGCCCGCCCCGGCGGGCGACGCCAGCCAATCAAGGAGTCTTACGATTGGCCACTAACCTTTGCCCCGTTGCCGCGAGGGCGCGCGGGAAATCCCCTGTGCGCCTGAAAACGGCTGACTATTAGGACTATGGCCACTTCTTCGGTGTCCAAGGTACGTTGGGGGCGGGTGCTCATTGTGGCTCCACCGACGCCTGCTTCCTCTCTAAAGAAGGAATGAAGCGGAGTTATGTTGGTTTCGACTCCCTAGCTGGAAGTGGGGGGTGGTCGACAGAACTCAGGCGTCTTTGCACTAGGTCCGGTTGAGGCCAACTTTGGGGAGCGAGGACGCTAATCTTCCTTGCGGTGCGGCTAGGAGGGTTTTTAAAGTTCTGCGTTGTGTTGGTCCGTTGACCGGGGGATGTGTTCCATTCTCCCCTACTCTTTCCCTTTCATAGATATTTACTGTGCGCTCAGCACTCCGTTAGGTACCGACATACAAGGTAAACAAAATTTGGACTCAAGAAAGACATTAGTAAACTGATAATACACTGTAAGCGTTAGCAGGAAATAAAAAGTACTAAGTGAAAGAAAAGAGAGAGAACAACCTAATGTAGATTGTTGAGAGGTCAGCGAAAGCTTTATGGAGAGTGACATTTTGGCTGAGATCTGAAAAATGAGTAGAGGTTTGGCAGATAAAGGATTGGGAGAAGGAGAGCAGAGAGCAACATGTTTTTTGCCTTAGAAGTAGAAAAAGGGAACAAAAATATTGAAAAGTCAGTATAATGAAAGAGTAGAGACAGAATAGGAGCATAACGAAAAATCAGAATGAAAAAAGTCATGCAGATATGTGTGCTGTGTGGGGCATCATGTAATATCTCATATAGGTTGACTGTGGCAAGGGATTGCAAGTCAATGTGTATTTTAGTAAGAAGATAAATCCTAGAGTTGTATTGTGAGGCTATTCAAATTTGAACTAAAGTAAAATAAAATTAAAATTCAATTCCTTAGTAGCAATAGCCACATTTCAGGCTCTTAACCATGTGTGACCATCACTACCATATCATTCATAGCAGATGTCTGACATTTCCATCATTAAAGAAAGTTCTATTGGACAGTGCTTCTGTGGATCATATAAAATAATAAGACTTTCAGTTCTAAGTGCAGTGGGAACCCCGAACTGAAGCAATCTGATGAAGCTGAAGATACAGGTGAAGAAGTTGTAAAGACATTTTTCTCTATATTAAAGCAGTGAGTTAATGATGGGATCTAATTTTTAACTTTGATTAAAATAGTCTACGAGAAGCAGTGCTTTTCAAGGATGAAGTACAAGCCATGGGACTTAAAGTTTCAAAGGACTGACTAATGCTAGCTACAAAAGCAAGAAGAGATTTAACTGTGCTTTTACTAGCATTGTTATCATTTTTGTTTTTTCTCCTTTATATAATTCCATAGATTTTGAGTGATCTGTCTTCTAATCCTGTTTGTTGTATAACATCTCAGTTTCTGTGTATCTTGCAGAAAATGAGTTGTTTTTTTTTTTTTCAGAAAGAATGCCTGTTTTGGGATGATCATGATCACCTTATATGAGTAAGAATCAGCTCAAGAATTCATAAAACTAAGAATGTTTTATTTCTCTCTCCATACATACATATTTTTTCCATTTATATTTTTTCCAAATATATATTAAAATTTTTTTTTTGACTATTGGACCTTCTAGGCTGCTTCTTTCATCTTAAACACCATCACTTAACCAGTAGTTCAAAGTGGTTATCCATATTACTACCAGTACTTTATTTAGTATCCATTCAGGGCACTCTTTGTATCTTGCTTTTTTGGTGCTCCTTTTCCTTCACTGAATTGTAGGTCCCAACGGCAAGCTTTTCCACTAGTTGTAGATATAAGAACATAAGGCACAATTCTTAATTTGGAAACTACTTTATAGTGGCTACTTTACATTTTGCTGTCTTTAATACTACCCTGAGATGACTTTCTGTATATGTGTTTCTTTTAGTCTTCCATTTTCCATGTAAGTGGAAACCTTTAAGAACCTGTTAATGAAATACGGCTTTAGGATTGATAGAATAACTAGGACCAAATAACTAGTACCAGTAGTCAAATGTAATAATATGAAACTGAATGTAGCTAAGAAATTACCAGGAAGGAAACTGTTGACAGGCATTCATTCATTCTATATAATGATTGCCTAATGTATATGTTAGCACTGTTCTAAACATTAGAGAAACAATTATAAATACAATAGTCTGTACTCTGAAGGTGCTTACTATCATTTGAGGAGACAGACCCGTAAACAACTATTACACATAATGAAAGTGGAGGACTATGAGATCTCAGGGGAAAATGCCTTTCTGAGTAGAGAACTGGAGGTTTCCCAGAAAAGGTGAGTTTTGAGTCATGCTTTAATGAGTAAATAAGTTTATCAGTTGATGGAAGTTACAGGGTTAAATGGTAACCAAAATTAACTGTTTCCTGTCAAGGTTCTAAATATTTGGAGTTTAATTAAATAACAAATACTTCTTTTGAGTGTTGCTATTTTCACCACTCTCGATCTCCATTGTAATGCATGGTGTTAATGTAATTTACTCTCTAAATTTTATAAAAATAGAGTTTTTCTGAAGTTAAACTTCATCAGCTTTTATTCTCTTTATGTACCTCTTAGAGCAGGTTCCAAAGAGTAAAAATAAAAGATCTAGATCTATTTTTTAAAAATCTGCTTTTGGACTCAAAAGCAGGTATGGCTCAAGCAGAAGAGCATCTGCTTTGCAAGCTCAAAGTCCTGAGTTCAAACCCCAGTCCCACCAAAAAAAAAAAAATAATAATAATAGTAATAAAAATCTGCTTTCCATGAAATATCTGGCTGGAGATGTGGTTCAAGTGGTAGAGCATTTGCCTAGCAAGGACAAGGTCAGGAGTTTAACCCCCTGTACCACTAAAAAAAAAATTGCGGAGGTAATTAGACTTGTCTGCTCTGTGACTACTTTGTCTTTATGCTTTTTCTTTTTTCTTTTTTTTTTTTTTTAAACAGGGCTGTTTTGTGTTTAAACCACACTTCAAGAAGAGAAAGCTCTCTGTGCCAGTAGGTAAGATACCTTAACTTTAAATTCATTAGTTTCTCTTCTCTCATGTCTTCTTAAACTTAAAGAACTAAGCCTAATTTGATTTAGTAATTCTCTTTTTCTAAGCTTGATTTGCTCTCCATGTTGATGTGAATGTTATATTCCAAGGTATTTGCCAGAGGGATAAAGATAACACCCCATGGTTGTAATTTAAAAGGGAATATAAATGTATTTTCAGACACCAAGCTGGGGGCTAGAGATGTGGCTTAAGTGCCACTCGAGACCCTGAGTTCAAACCCAGCTAGTACTGCTAAGAATTAAAAAAAAAGAAAAAAAACCAAAAAGCAAGCTGGAAAATATTTATTAACACTTGGAAAAACTACAAAAGAAAAAGACTACAAATTTGTATATATTTTCTTTTTTCTTATTTTTATTAGAATATGTTAATTATACAAAGGAGTTGTATGATGGTAAAATTTGTAATGTTTTCTGGTGAAATTTTGTACCGTTTATTACTGAGTTAAATGTATAGTATTAAACTGAGTGTGGTAGCACCTCCCTGTAATGCTACTCAGGAGATGGAGACTGGAGGATCAGGGTTCAAGGACAGTCCTAGCAAAAAGTTACTGAGATCATGTATCAACCAATAAGCTGGGCAGTCTGGTGCATGCCTGTCATCTCAGCTAAGCAGAGGCATAGAGTAGGCTCTCAGTTCAGGCTAGTCGAGGCCAAAAAACGAGAGACCCTACTGAAAAATAACTAAAATGAAAAGGTCTTAAGGGCATGGCTCAAGTGGTAGAGTACTTACCTAATAAGAGTAAGGCCCAAACTCAGTCCCTAGTACTGCAAAAAAAAAAGCAGTATTTATGAGGACTTGAATATGCTTAAAAACTGGGTGTGTTATGCCATAAACAAATTTGTTGTTGGGGTTAATCTTGATTATCATCTGGATTGGATCAAGAGATAACTAGAAGATGAGCAAAGCACATTTGTTGGTATATTTCAGAGTGTTTCCAGAGATGATTGGATTATGTGGGCCTTGATCTAATTAGTAGTTTAATCCATTAATGGATTAAAAATGAGTGAGCTATCAGGAGATAGTGGAAACTGTGGAAGGTGGGCCCTGGTTGGAGGAAGGGGCCTGCCTTTGAAGCATATATAGTCTTTGACCCCTTTTTCGGTGGTTCTCTGCTTCTTTCCTGTCTGAGGTGAGCAGCCTCCTCTCTTCCTGCTCCTGCTGCCATGATATTCCACCTTGCTCAGACCTAAAGTAATGAAGGCTGTGGACCTTGGACTGGAGCTTCTGAACCAAAATAAGTCTTTTCTCCTCTAAATTTTTTCTCTTGGTCTTTATTTTTTGTCATGGTGCCAAAAAAAAAAAAAAAAAGACTAACATACCTGGCAAGATAAAGAAAGAAAAATTATCTGTATGGAACTCCTATCTCTCAATAGCCTGAGGGAAGGAGAAGCTGTGAATGAGCAGTAGGAGGCATTCTGTTCTCAGAACTGCTACATATTTTCAGGTGACCAAGATCTTCTACCTATTAATCCTTATACTCTTTCTACCAGTTTGTGCTCTCCATCCTCTCATATCGCAGGGATTCCACACTGTTCTTACTCTTAAAACTCACAGATACATACTGTCTATTACTAAGTGAGTGAATTTTAATCACTAAGACACCATGTAGGTAAAAGAGGAACTTGACAATTTGTTTACAACAAAACCTACCAATCCCTCCCTCCCTTCAAAAAAAACCCAGAGTTTCTTAAAAGTCTTGGTTTCCTGGGATGAGGTACAGAGAACTGATTACAGAAAGGCTAGAAGAAACTTTTTGAATGATGGAAATGTTCTCTTGGTTTTTTTGGCCTCCTGGGGTTTGCTCAGTGCCTTGTGCTTGCCAAGCTGGTGTTCTGTCATGTGAGTCATACCTTTAGCCCTTTTTTGCTTTGGTTATTTTTGAGATAAGTTCTTACTCTTATGCCTGGACTGGCCTGGACCATAATCATCCTACTTAGCCCTCCTCTGTAGCTGAAATGACAGAGCAGTACACCAACACACCCTGCTTTTGTTTTGGTTGAGGTGGGGTCTCCTGAACTTTTTGACTGATCTGGCCTTGAACTACAATCTTCTGGATCTCCACCTCCTTAGTAACTAGGATTACAGGTGTGAGATCCTAGCTCCCTGTCTTGAGAGGGTGATTATGTGAGTGTATATACTATGTCAGAATACATTCAGTTGTTAAAATGGGTACATGTTATTTGTAAATTATACCTCAAATTATTACCTTTACTCTTTTAATTTTCTATAGATACCTGTTTTGTGACTAAGTTAAGAAGACTTCAAACAAAACAATATTCTGTTAGCTAGAAAGTGTTTATTGCACTTGTACAGTTGTCAGCTGTACATTAGAATTGCACTTTAGAATCACTTAGGGAACTTTTTATAAAAAAAAACTTTTTAGCTTGATACAATTGTACATTCACATGCAGTTGTAAGAATTAGTATAGAGAGTTCTATATCCTTCACCTATTTATCCCCAGTGATGATATCTTGTAAAACTATAGTAGTTTCAAAACCAGAAAACTGACATTGATTCAGATTTCAGTTTGGAGAACTTTTTGAAAATACCAATGCCAGATCCCAACCCAGACCTACTAAATTAGACTCTGGTGGTGGGGCCCAGATGTTAGAATTTTTAGACACGTCTCACAGGCTTATTGAGTATTTACACTTTTATTCAGCACTGTAAAATTTAATTACAATGGAAAAATTCTGAAGTGAAATTAAGCATACCTATATACTAGTTTTAAACCCCATTGTTGACTGAAGAAGTAAACTACTTCAGTAAGTAGAATAAGATTTTCTAAGTCATACTTTAGATAAGAGAGCTGTGCTTAAGGATAAAATAATAAAATAGTGGTCTAATTTGGAAGAATGAATGGAAGAGAATATGAAATAGTAAGAATCCAGTTTCTTTCCCCTTCCCTTCCCCTCCTTTCCTCACCTCTCTCTCATTGGAGATAGAGCCCAGGGCTTTTTTTTTTTTTTTATCTTTTCTTTTTTGGTGCTGGGATCGAACCCAGGGCCTCACGCATGCTAGGCAAGCGCTGTACCACCGAGCTACATCCCAGCCCGAACCCAGGGCTTAATGCATGCTATGTGGACTGGTCTGCCACTTCAGCTCCATCCCAGCCCAGCAGTTCCTCATTAACAGGAATAAATTGAGTGACCTAGAGCTTTACATTCTTACATGCTTAAGAATTTGAAGCTTTCTTGATTCCTTGCTCTCCACCCCTGAAAAAATATAACAGTGATGGACTTGGAAATAGTAGACAAAGTGTACCTATGTCAGGAGTTATTTTTAAGTAGTTGGCTGAAGAATAAATTTCTTTAACTTTGGAGGTGATTAAGCTTACTAGGAATAGTTTGGAGAACATTCAAGATTTTCCCCCATTGTACATGAGGGACACATAACATATAATGACATATGATATCACCAGCAGTGTAATTATAGCATTTTTAAGCATTTTATGTGTGTTTGTTTAATCACCTCAGACTTTGAGGAATTTACTATTATCTCCCTTAAAATATATGAGGATTACATAATCATACAAAGAGCTGGTAGAGCTGGGATTTGAATCCAACCTGTCTGATCCAGACTACATAGTCTTTAACTTTTACTTACTAGTATAACTTCTCATGATATGAGGCAAGTATTTGCTTAGAACTTTTCGTATGGAGTTTCAGCTATAATTTACTAAGATTTATTTACAGGCTAGTACCATTAAACCTACTATGTGTAATACGAGCTTTGTTTTAGCCACTCCACCAGCCCTTTGTGTGTGTGTGTGTGTGTGTGTGTGTGTGTGTGTGTGTGTGATGGGTTTTTTTTTTTTAGATAGGGTCTAAAAAACTATTTGCCTGGGCTGGCTTCAACCACTATCCTCCTGATTCAGAGATCAGGACTTCTGAGTAGCTATAATTGTAGGTGTGAGCCATCGGTGCCTGGCTTGTTAGTTAGGATTTTTTTCATTGCACTGATCTAAGACCAACAGCTATTGTTAAAGTTGAAAATCTTTAAGGAATGGACCCTGATTATAAGACAGATGCAGGAACAAGGAAAATATATTCACTTTTTAGCACCTCCTTTCCTTGGCTTCAGTTCTTAAAACAGATTGGAGAAGTAGGAAGATGCTCTGCATTTTGCCTACCATCTGTCCCCTGACTTGAAGGCACTTGGGCATGTCCCTAAGAGAAGACTGGTAACTCTTCCTCTCTTCAGTAGTTCTGTAAGTGACTATACATCCAACAAAACAACTGGGGAGAGAGACTGGCAGTAGCACTGGACTGTAGGAGTTTCACACTGAGTGAAGAAGCACTGAGTAGGAGCCAAGGCAGAAGGAAACCTGATAGAGTGTTAGCTTACATTCTTTAGTTCCACTCAGTGCATATTTATTTTTTACCAGCCTGATTTATGAAGGACCGAGAGAAGTCATGGTAATGGGTTAAAGTGTCCTACTACTGCTGTTTCCCAATTTCTAAGATTTTTTTCACTGTGTATTTTGATCCAGCATGATGCAGTACATAAACTCAAGCCTTAATTTGCTACTGACCATTTTACTATGATTGTCCTCATTATTGATATAAAATGACTGTTTTGTTTGCATTGTAAAATACTAACTTTGGCATTTTACCATATGATGACTTCAGTGTATTCTAAGATGTTTCATAAAATTAAGTCATTACTTGTTAAAAACTCTTAAGTCAGCTCTGATTAGAAGGGAAGTACCTTAATGTGAAACAGAATTTCTCTTCCAGACTGTCAATTAACATTGTAATTTGGTGGTAGAATACTAGCAGTAGAAATTTAGTGTTGCAAAAATTCTAGTTTTTGCAATATAATATCTGGTATTTAAAAGTAAGAAATAGGAAGGAAAGTAGAGAGCTATAAGGAATGTAAGATACTTGATCAAAGGAAGAGCCTTGTATACTTTTGGATGTTTTGGGTCCTTTTTTTGAGGCGGAGTTTCACTTTGTAGCCCAGGTTGGCCTCAACTTTGGAATCCTCCCGAGTGCTGGGATTACAGACACCACCATGCCTGGCTTGGATTTGAATTTTTAAAAGCACCTTTAAGGTGTTATTTCTCCCTAGGTCAATCTATAAGTCTGATTTTATCTGGTCAAAATAGCAGTGTGATTATTTTTGAGAAGTGGCAACATTACCATAAAAAATTTGAAAGAATGGGCTTAAGGCTTTTTGTTTTGTTTTGTTTTGTTTTGTTTTGTTTTGTTTTGTTTGAAAGAGAATAACATTGGTGGCAAAACCTAATACAATTAATAAGATGCGTTGACATGCAAGCTGCAATAATTTAAATAGTTCATGATTGAACAAAACATAAAGTTCAAAAACAGTTCAAAGTATAAATATTTAGATGAAAAGGACATCTCAAAATAATGGAAAAAAGAATGAATTATTAGTTAATGAGTGTTTTTCTTCAAATCAGAGGTTACAACCCATGTGTTTAGTGGACCATAAAACAGAAAACATTTGCTATGTAAGGGTAAGGATTGTTTTGTGGGACTTTTGTTTTTGTTTCTCTGTACCTGTGTTAGATTTGGGTGTAAATGTATTCCTGGATGTGAATCATGGTCTTAAAACTTTAAAAACCATTGTAATGGAAGATTTTTACAAATGACTAGCCATTGGAGAAAACATTTTTTTTATTGTTTTATTATTCATATGTGCATACAAGGCTTGGGTCTGGAGAAAACATTTTAAAACAAAATGAAATAACACAGACCAAATGGAAGACTGAACTTAACTGTGTTAATGGAACCAAAATATAATTGTGGTAGGAAGAATTGTGGTTTATATACTTTGGTATATAAACCAAAGTATATGAGGACATAGGGTACGATCAGGTAATGAAAACATTAATATTAAATGTGTAAACCTCAAACCAAAAACTGTTAGAAAGTGAAAAGTAACAGAAATACAATAGAAAATTTAAAGACATTTTTTATCTTTTTTAGACATTTTTAATCTTAAGATACAATTCATATGGTTAAAAAAATGACATAAGCAAAATTATATAAAATGATAAGGAATTTTCTCTCAAAATGTATGTGTGTATGTAGGTGTATGGAGTCTTTTTGATGCATAGAAAAAAACTTCAGTCCCCATCACATACTGTGTGGCTCTACACACAATTTCTAACTTTTAGTGTGTAAGCAAAGAAACTGACTTATTTCTTTCTGTGTTTGTAGAGAACTATTTTAACAAAGGGAAAAATGAGACTGAGGATAGTAAACTTCGATTTGAAACTTATCATTTGATGTGGCAACAGATGAAATGTGAAACTGAGGTGAATATCTTTTTTGTTAACATTTCTATAATTCTAATACTACAAATCTCATAGTGCTTCCCATTTTTTCCGCCGATTTACAAGAGTGTTGATCAAATACAGGAAATACTGGTCAATCATAATCTGTACATCTTAGAAAACCCTCCTGTTCCAAATACTAACTATAGCTTCAGGTGCTAGAATATGATAGCTGCTAAAGCAGAGAGCTTTCATGTGGTATGGCACTCTTAAATTATCTATTCAGTTAATAAGTAACAAGTTATGCTATTTCTAAACTGCACTCTTTCATCCTCATATCCAGATACCATGTTTTTTATATTCCAACTCTTGCTACTCTTGTAGCAAGTTGGTAGCTCTAGGGCCAACATCTTGAGCCAAAAACTTGTCTTGTTTGACCAATGCATTGTTACAGTTTTATTTTTTGGATGGGAGTTTTTTGGATAAATTTCCAGCTTATTACTGCTTCCCTCCAGTCTTACTGCTTTATACTTAGTAGCTTTACTCATTCATGTGTTCCTTATGAATGTTCCTTTGAGTTTTGGGTTTCCAGTTTAAATCCTCTTCATTTCTTAACCTGGATTGTCATAATACCTCTTTGACTGGTATCCCTGACTGATGTCAAACCCTTCAGATCTTCCTAGGTCTTTTGCCACCACTAGTCATATTAGAAAAGTCCCCCTTTCAGGCAAATACCAATACCAAGCTACAAGGGGATTTCATACAGCCCCCTTGCCAGTTTCTCCTCCTTTATCTTCTGATCTGGTCTTCATAATGCTGCCACAGTAACCCTTCTTAATCCTAATTTAATCATGTCTTTTCTCATCCTTGCAGTGGCTCTCCACACAGGATAAAACCAAAACCCTTTAGCATACTACACACTTTTTTCATGGGTAGACCTTTGCTTATTTATCCACTGTCATTTCCTACCAGTTGTCATGTTTTTGATGCTCAACTGTATCATTGGTTCTCCCTTGTCTCCTAACTTTTCTTTGCTTCTGCTTACTAATGCCTTGGTTCAAATATATTACTCTTCAGCTTCTATTAGATGGCCATACTCTTGGCTCCTATTTTATTGTGTATTTTAATAAATTTTCTTAAGTTTAAGTTTTCTTACCTGATTTCATCACTTCGTAGGATAGAGACTATCTTTTAGTCATAAAATTAGTAAAGGTTTGATGAATGAATAAATGAGAGGGCTTTTTAAATGGAAGTATAAAAAGCACTAATCTCTAGAGAGTTAAGGAGAAACATTTTTATTTAATATATCTTTTAATCATTTTATATGTAATCTTTGAGCTGAATCCATGACAATTTTCTTTCTAAAACCACTGAAGGAGATCAATATAGGCCACCCCAAAATGTACATCTTTAGCATATTTCCAGATGTCTGTTGCAAACCCAGGAATAGTTGTGAGAAGTTTTCATTTTGTGCAAAGAAATTTGCATCTATCTACATTAGTAAACACTGGATGCAGGTAGAGGCTTCTGTATCTGATACCCTGTCTGAGGAAAGTCCTGACTCAGGAAGAAGAGTTTGAGGGTATCACACCTGGCCCAGACACAGATTGCCACAGTTGGCCTTCTAATGACTGTTACCTTTGAGACTTTATCCATAGAATGCAACAGCCTTTGTTTCGTGCATTGTCCTCCCACCCTTCTATAACCTGTTGTCATCCCCACCTCACTGTCTATACTCTTCCATCCCAACCCTTACTCCCAGCCCAGCACCCTGAAACCTTGTTTCTTTCTGAGCTCTAAATACAATTTGAATTTCAACCATCTTGCTTTCTTTAAGTCTTATACTTTGTGCAATGTGTCTGGCACTTGTAGACCCCCACCCAGTTACTCTACTGCCAGTTTATTTTATAGACTAAAATTATTGAGCATTTAAGGGGAAAAGAAAATTTAAAACTTCCCACACCAGAAAAGACATGTTAGATTACTACTACTAATTCATAAAATTTTGTGTTTTCTTTTTAGCAACTACAGGAGGAATTAAATAAAAACTTGTTTGACAGTCTAATTGAATTTCTGCAGAAGTCTCATTCTGGATTCCAGAATTCTAGAGACTGGGGTTGTCAAATAAAACTCCAAGAAATTCCAACTGCTGCTCTTGTTCTTGGTATGTCTAATATCTGTCTGTGTTTGTTCATGCATGCATGTGTATATTTTTTAATTGTTTTGTATGAGAATAGTGGGGAATAACTTGTTCTGGTAAATCTTTGTTTCTTTTATTTATAGAATTAAACCAATTAGCTTGCTTTGCATACTTTCTAAGCCAGTAAAATTCAGTATATCAATTTGTACATCTGTAAATTAAAAGAAATTGATCCAAGGCTCAAATGGAGTGTGGCTCAAATGGTGGAGAACCTGCTAGAGCGCAAGCCCCTTAGTTCAAACCCCCAATATTGAAAAAAAAAAAAAATTGATCCAGCATCTTTCTTTTCAGACTTTTTGTTTTGTTCTTTTCAACTTTTTGTCAGAAAGAGAACCATATTTGTTTTATTTTTTCTTCTTTATACTATATATTATGGGTGTATATGAAATTTGGATTCACTTATAAAAATCCATTGGCTATTAGCAGATCTGATTTTTGTACCTTTAAAAAAATCATACCTTAATTAATTTTAAGATAATTAACCTATAACATTAATTTTTTTTTACCTATGCTGATTTTTAATTTCAGATTGTATCAATGGGTAAATTTTTTTTTTGTTTCGGGTTTTTTTTTTGTTTTTGGCAGTGCTGGGGTTTGAACTCAAAGCCTCACGCTTGCTAAGCAAGTGCTCAACCACTCAAGCAACTCTGCCAGCCCTTTTATGGCTGGGTATTTTTTGAGATAGGGTCTCACAAACTGTTTGCCTAAGGTGGCTTTGAACTGCGACCCTTTTGATCTCTGCTTCCTTAGTAGCTAGCATTACAGGGATGAGCCACTGGTGCTTGGCTGGATTTGGATAAATTATATATAAGATACTTTCAGATTGCAGGTTGTAAATTTTTAAAATATCCATCACAAATATCCCATCTTTACCAAACATTTGGATTCCAGGTTAGTAGAAAAAAATTCTCTGGAATATTATCAGAGTTCTCTCTTTTAGAGGTTTTTTTTTTCCTGAATATTGTATTAATTTATTATTTTGGTGCTGGGAACTGAACCCAAGGCCAACCCAAAAAAGCATGTGCTCTTCTACTATAGTTTTCTTTTTTCCTTTTGAAAACAAAATGGAATTTATTTGGGTTCCAACCATGCTATTCTTTTTGCTTCTAATTTGATATTTAGGGCTTATTAACAAGTAGACTCTGAGATGAGAAATTAATTCTCTTGTTTAATAATACTTCTAATACTTTTTATAGCCCAAATGTTCAGGACAGTATTTCTCAAACTGTAATGCATGCACAAATAATCACAAGAAGCTGAGTGTGGTGGCACATGTCTGGAATCCCAGTACTTGGGAGGTGGAGACAGTATGATCAAGAATTTGGTCTATGTAGTAAGATCCTGTCTCAAAACAAAACAGAACTAACCACAAGTAAAATGCAGATTTTTGTTAATAGGTCTGGAGCAGACCTGAAGTCCTGCATTTCTAACTGACTTCCAGGTGACGCCCATACTGCCAATTGCCAACTGCCTTGAGTAACAAGACTCAATGAAGTGTTTTTCTAATGCAGCCTGCCATCTAATTTAAATCCTGTTGCATTTATGAATGGCAAACTTTGGCTCAGTGATGGCCCCCTTGTACTCCTGAATACTTTGTTTCTCTACTGGAAGGTTACAACAGTTAGAGGAGTAGTGAGCAGGCATAACCAAGAGAGATGGCCTCATAGGTTGTTGTTTTGCCTCCTGCCAAAAAGGAAAAAAGAAGTTAATGGAAATCATATTTTTCAAAATTATGGTTTGAGAATGGTTTTCCAGTTTAATGACATTGTTGATTATCCTGATTGCAAAGGATAGAACTATTGATTTAAGGAACATAATGTTAAATAGTTTATAAAACTAGTTAGTGAAAGATGGGCTAAGTCAGTATTTTACTGAAATTCCAAACTTGTTCAGAGATGCACTATAATAGTCAAAGATTATGATGCGTACTAAGAATAGTAAGATACTGAGGGCTTAAGCACAGTTATATATTTTCTGTTTTCAAAAAGGTATATATATCCTTTTAAAAACAGTCTGCTAAAAATGGTGGGGAAAGAAAAAAACACAAAAGAAAGTACTGTGCTAATATTTTTGCTTTTTCTGGGGATGCTTATTGTTGGCATGAATGATTCTGAAAGTTTTCTTTTTCCACACAATTAAAGTCTTAAAACTTCTCATGCAGTTTGAAGATGTGTGCTGCTGCTGTCTGCCTAAGCGTCAAAGGACTTTCTAGAAATAACAGGTAGTTAGTTAGAGAAGGTATACTGTTAGTTAGGGAAGGTTTACAGAATTAATCCCTCAGTAGTGGGGAAATTTCCATTCATATACACAGATCACTAAAACTGATTTGTAGAAATGAAAACCAGGGGTTTGATAACTACCAAAACCCATAGTTGTAAGTTTGTTTTAGATTCTTCCCTCAGAAATCAACTTAGTGTCTACTTTATCTATTTATGTAGTACCATTATTTCAAGAATATTACTGTTGGATTTTCAGTAATTAAGTAAGGTCACAACGAAGCTGGATTCCACAGTCCTTTTTTTTTTTTTTTTGAATGACTAAAGAGCACTCAATGAATATGACAAAGTAATGAAATTACTCCAAAGCTCTTTTTAAAGGTCGGCTGGCTACACATGCTCAGTAATTTTTTCTGAAGAGGAGTTGTGCTAAATACCTTTCTGAACAAATCATTTGTGTTAGTCAGCCTTCTGATACTGTGACAAAATATTTAAGATTATCAACTTATAAGGAGAAAAAGTTTTCTTTGGTTCATCATTTCAGAGATTTTAAACTGTGGTCAGTTGGCTTCTTGCTTTTTTGGGCCTGTGCTGAGGAATGCATGATGGATCCAAGCTGCTCACCTCATGACATCCAGGAATCAGAGACAGAAAGGCGAGAGGGTTCCAATATCCCCTTAAAGGATATGAACCCAACAATCAAACTTCCTTCCACTTCTAAAAGTTCTACCATGTCCTAGTAAGCATCATAATCAGGGGACCACTCCTGCAGTACATATGCCTTTGAGAGTCATTCAGGAACCAAACTGTAGCATCATTGTAGCATGCACCGTTACATAATCATCTTAATCTCTTTACTTACGTGGTATATTTTCTTGGTTTCTGTTATGAATCATGTTTGTAAAATGTTTTTGCTTAATAGTTTGATATTTTAAATATCTTTGTTAAATTGTTAATATAAATGATGATGTAATATTGATGTACTATCCAATAGGTGTGAATGTCACAGATCATGATTTAATATTCAGAAGTCTAACAGAGGCCCTTCAGAATAATGTCACACCATATGTAGTCTCATTGCAAGCTAAAGATTGTCCAGGTAAAATATAAATGCCATAGTTTCTTGGTGAAATGTTACAGAATTCTTCTGTTCTTCTTTCTCTCTCTCTTATGCTTTGTTAGTCCCTTTTTATTTGTGGGAAGAGCATAGTGCTGCACTAAACCTCACAGGTTTAATGGCACCCAGAGTAACATTGATTCTTACAGTACTTTTTGCCCACTCTTGCTTCCTTTATTTTTTGTTCCATTGCTGCTGTATCAACTTCACTGCTAGTGGTAGTCCATGCATTTTGTAAAATGTGTTCCTTAACTTGGTGAAACTTCTAGGAAGTAGAAAATTTTGGAATACAAAGCTGAAAATTAGGGAATGATAAGCCTTAACTTAGTCCAACAGATAGGAAACTCTGTAGGTTTATATTTATGAAGAGCCACAAATCATCATATTTTCCTATTTTAAAAGGCCACCAATGGTAAAAATAGTACTTTAACAGAGCCAAACTTGAGTGCCTAGAGCCATCAAATCATAAACAGTGTAGACTAATATGGTAAGATTTGTTTGTATTACCTTCATAGTCACAAACTGAACTTTAATAAAATCCCTCAAGGATATCTTTTTAAATAATTTTAAAGGTAGATTTTTAATCAATAAGATAATTCATATAAATAGCACTTCTGATTATTTTAGGGTCCTTGAAATCATTTTGTTGTTTAGTATAATTTAAATGCATATTTTTCCTAAAATAATTTATAGTTTCCATGTTTTCACATTTGCTTAGATAACACTTTTACAGGTAATACAAACATTTTGGTCTTAATATGAACTAATGTAATATAAGTATTAAGGAGAGGATACTAATGAGCATTAATACTTAATATGTTAAATGCTATTTTAGCTGTACTAATGATAAGTATAGAAAAATAAATCCAAAAAACATAATATACTCATCATTTGGTTTTCAAGGGCTTTAATTTTGTTTGAAGAGAAGATAGGCTTTTTTACTTTTCATATTCTGCAGATCTGAAACATTTTTTGCAAAAGTTGGTCTCCCAGTTGGATTGCCGTGTAGATGTAAAACCCAAAGAGGAGGAAAGTGTTCAGTTCACCCTGAAAAAGACACAGTGTTCAATGGACTTGCTTTCCAGTTGGTATATGACTGTCACACAGGTAAACATAAACTGATGATTTTCTTCCTGAAAACTGTCATATGGTTGATGAGGCTTGGAATTATATTAGGTATATTCCTTTTTGTTCTAATAAGCGTATGTTTATGCACTACTAGGTGTCTAAATTTCATAGTACCTATTTATTTTTTCTAAGGCCACTAGAGTTCAAACTATTGTTTTATTAGTATGCAGCCTAATTCCTAGTAAGTGGTTAGGTTCTTATAAGAACATTGCATTTGTGAGACAATGACATCTAGTTAGGAAAAAAAGAGCAACAAGAGTTGGTTCTGTTGTACATTCTACCTCTGTAACAGTGGCTGTTAACTTCAATACATTATCTCTTAAGTTCCTCAGTATGTGCTTTTGTGTAATAGAACCATGCTGCCAATTCCCACTATCAACTTCGTTCTCTAAGGAATAACCATGTATTTTTTTAATGTAATTTGTTCTGTGCTTAGTATTCTTTGAGAGTTAATACTCTATTAGTAAAGTATCTGCAACAAAATAGACACATAAAAATAAATTCTTGTTATAACAGTTTCTGGTGAAAGTGAATAATTCAATGATTCCTGAATTACTGCACTGTAAACCTTGGCCTAAGTTTACAATGTTGTATAATCAGGTGTTATGGGCAAAAAATATTGTGGTGACATTTTCTAGTCAGTATTTTAGCTGAATTAGTATAGGTGAAGTTTCTTTTCCTTTATCTGAAAGACTGAATTAGGTCTCATGTTTATCACAGTACCTTAATTTGATCCACAATTTTAGATTTTTTTTTAAGCAACCGAACACTATTTGCAACTTAATATGTTGGTAAAATTGAGATTGGACCAAGTAATATATAGGGTCCTTTTCAAACTTGATATTTCACAAGCTTGAAGATCAAGTAGAACATTCATTAAAAATACTAATTCTCACCTTAAAGCAAAGCAAATAGAGCTTTCTACCAAAAAAAAACAACAAAACTGTAGAAAAGTTTCTCTTGTTCTGAGGGGTTTTCTGTCTTTTTTTTTTTTTTTTTGAGCATAAAATGTGTATCATTTGATATTTTACTGAACCTTTTTCTTTTTGGTTATTATTCCCATGTCAGTCATAGAAAGAAAGATCGCGTTTGAATGAGTTTCTGTTTGTTATGTGGGAGAAATAAAACACTATCACTGTGAAGTATAAAGGGAAGTACATAAACATTTGGCATTACAGTATTATTTGGGTAGTAAGGCTTACTCTTAACTCCTTCTTTCCACAATGGCTTAAAAGAAGACAGGTCCAAAAATGCCAAGCAAAAAGAGGACTACTTCTAGTCACTGGCAGTCTCCTCCTGTTGTGCTTATCCTAAAGGATTTGGAAAGCTTCACTACAAAAGTACTCCAAGACTTCATAATTATCAGCAGGTAGGTGGAGTGTCACTTGGCTTTTGTGAAAAATTTTCTTTTTATTATGAAAGCATTACTTGTAACTTAAAAAGTATTATCTTCATTTTAAGACCAACTTAATGTAAAGTGATTTTAAGTTTTATAACTGAGTGTTCAGATTTATCAGATTTTTCATTTGCTTTTTGACCCATAGTGAGGAAGACAATTTTAGAACTGGTGAGTGACTCAAGTGGTAGAGAGCCTGCCTAGCAAGCATAAGACCCTGAGTTCAACAACCCCCCCTAAAAAAAACCCCACAATTTTAATCTATTTTTTAATTAGTGTGATAAGGAAATATAAAATGTAGTTTATCTTACCCAGGTTGTCTCTCTCTCTTACTTGCCCACTAAGTAGATAAACTATTCTAGGATGAGATATTTACCAAGCTTATTGTCTGACCCCTATTATATTCATTACTTTTCTTGTTACTGTGACAAAATACCTGACATAAACAGCTTAAAGGAAGGAAAGATTTATTTTGCTCATGGTTCCAGAGATTTCAGTTCATCGTGGTGGGGCAGAGATGTTCAATTCATGGCAACCAGAAAGCCACACTGAGAGAGGCAGGAGGGAGCAGGGATAAGATACCCCAAGGACCCATCCTCAGTGACCTAATTTCTTCAGCAATAGTGCTACCAGCTGGGGACCTAGGCTTTAACACATGAGCCTGTGGGGGCACATTTCATATTCAGACTATGACACCTATCTAATCTTTAGTGGCTCTAAGTTGAATATAGCTTCATTGAATGTTTTCTAAATGACATATTTACATAATATTGCTAGTGAGAAGCTACTTTCATGATATATTATCTTGAAGACACTCCTCTGAGACTGAGATTTGAAGTAACTAATCATATTTTAAATTTTCATTACTTACATTTCCCATGGTATATATTTTAGGATATAATTTACTTTTGCATCGTTTATATGTCAACCTGCCTTCATAGTTGTGTATATGACAATAATTGCCTAAAGCTAGAGTTGTAATTCCTATTTTAATAGTGTTTTTTCTTTTTCCTTCTCATTGACTATAGTAGGTTCTAGACACTAGAATTTTCTTCTTCCTTCTTCCTTCTTCCTTCTTTCTTCTTTGCTAGGGATTGAACCCAGGGTCTCATGTATGTAAGTGCTCTACCCCTCAGCTATATCCCCAAACCTCAGTTCAGTGTTACACTGAACCGTTTACTATGCTGGGAAAGTGCACTGTAGAGTAGAGTGGCAAAAATGCTGTACTTTTTGGAGTTCAGGCTTGGTACTACTTTAGCCATCAAAAATAAAGAACTTAGAACAGCAGTAAGAGAATGTAGGCACTTTATCTTTATTAAGATTGAACTGCATACAGCTAGAAAACTGAAAAAGCAGTAGCCAACGAGAGGGCAGCCATGGTACAAAGGGCTCTGGCTTGTTACAGTAGTCCTCAAATTAGTGCTGCTTTACTTCATAGAAGCTGTTTGTGTTCATCCTGGTATTGCTAAGAATAAATTGTGTCAATATATTTAAGAACACAAAGAAGGAATGTAACATTTTAATTATTAAAAAGGTGTTTTACATATATATGTATGTATATATATATGTGTATATATATATATAAGGACATGTGTGAAACAAATGTGTAAAAAAGTTTATAACTCTTGGATATTATGGTTGGGTAAAATAGTGTCTGTTACAAGTGTTCATACATAGAATACCTTGAATTATCTTGAAAATTAATGAACTTCATTTACTGAACTCTGAAAGCATAGATTGGATGGGCAACTGACTATAGGTGAGGCTTAGACTTTGGGTGAGAGGTTAAATGGGTGTTATCTAACATATCTTTGAACCGCTAAGACTGTCTAACCTTAGGGGGAGGCACTTTATCTTTCTGGACCTCTGTGTTCTTATTTATAAAATGAAAGGATCCATTATTAGATTGACTTCAGAGCTAGAATATCTGGGAAATAGCTACTTTTGTGTTACTTTTATAGGAAAATGAATGATTAGAAAATTTGGAATGATACTTATTAGCCATATCTTATAAAGTAGGCATTAAAATAAAGCTAGTCTTATTTTGAAATATGATGTATTGAAATATATTTGCTAAAGAAATTTCACTTTTGTATCTTTCTTTAAAAACTAGTCAACACCTGTATGAATTTCCACTAATACTCATTTTTGGAATTGCCACATCTCCTATTATCATCCACCGATTGCTTCCTCATGCAGTATCATCTCTATTGTGTATAGAACTGTTCCATTCTTTGTCTTGCAAGGAGCACCTGAATACCATACTTGATAAGGTAAAAAAGAAAAAGGTTACCAGTGACACAGAATAAAAGGAAAACTGCCAGGCATAGATGGTACATAAAAACGCTAATGATAAATCTCTACCTCTCTCAGAACATGTTCCTTTACATACTTTAATGTTTTATTTAGTGACTTTTTTTATAGTGACTTTGTATAGAATGCCCCCAGATAAAATATAAGCTTTATGAAAAAAATGATTATCTATTTACGTCTGTATATATGTATATATCACTACTCAGTGAAAAATTATAGACTTTTAAAATAAATTTTAATAGAATTTACAAACTTCCTAGTAATATCAATGTTTTTGTTTTTTGGTTTTTGATGCAATGTTATTAACTCCCAATATTCCTGCTTAGTCTCCTGAGAGCTGGGATTATAGGCATGTACTACCACATCCAGCTACCAATATGCTTTTATCTTACATTTTACATAAAACAATTTGAAGTTTTTAGTGGATTCCTTACTGTTGTATTACTCTTGACAACAAGTGCCAAAAACTTCTTAGGCCTTAGCTACTGTAACATTTTTATCCAAATACAATATGATTCTTTAGTGTTGACCATCCATAATTTTTTTCCTACACTCCTTTAAGATGTATTTCATGCTGCTTATGTAGGTAAACTAATGACAACCTGTCCACTTATTTACTAACCATTTCTATACTTCTGTCCACAAAAGTGATATCCATCTGATTTGTTCAAACTTTAGAGGAAAATTTTCCACCTACAAGATTTAATATTACTTGGGTGTAGCCAAATTCAGTTGGGCTTCTCAAACTATGGTTTTGTTTAAGAATCCTAGAGTGATATTTCATTTTCAAATATAAAACATCCTTATAGGCCATTGAAAATTAGATAAATAATAATAGCACATCATTAATTTGAATCAGTAGGATAAAATAGAAATCTTATCTGATAATAAGAACTGCTAACACCTACAGCTTCTTTGGTGCCTCTGGTGTCAGAAAAAACAGATTATATAGTTAATAGGTAATAATTTTAATTTCTAATTTAAAAACTAGAACTCAGATGAAGTATGGTGACCATCTTTGGTCCTGAGAATGTAGTATGAATTGCTTCTTTTTGTTGTTGTTACTCTGATACAAATTAAGTTATATTTTTGGTTGTTATTTGATCTAAAAAAGAAATCTAGCTACTACTGCTTTCATAATTAAATCTCATTTATACTATTTATGAAGAGTCAAGACTAAGAAGTGTGTTTCCTCTCCTGCCTCTTAATCTCTTTCAGCTACTTCTTACAATGCAGTTTCCCTTCAAAATAAGTGAAAAAGTGTTACAGGTTCTGACCAACATCTTCTTATATCATGATTTCTCAATTCAGAACTTTATAAAAGGACTTCAGGTAAGATGCCCCAATGAGTTTGAAAATTCGCAAGCTGATTCTAAATAATTTGCATGTTATTTCAGACTGTTTAGTGTAATAATTAAGTCATTTTAAGTGACAAAATCTAAAATAAGTTAATTCAAGTTATTTTTTTTTCCCAGATTCTACCATTCCTTTGTTACCTTGCAGCAAAATGTAGAGAATACATATATTAGGATATCAGTAATGGAAAAAGAGGTCCCTTCATTCCAGTGATTCTTAATCATTGGGAAGTGGGGAGGAAAACTTAATGAAAGCTATGGACTTTCTGCCTAAGAAATGCCAGATCTAAAGGGTCAGCAAATTTCCTCTGTTAATGGGCTAGAGAGAAAATGTTTTCAGCTTTGTATGCCATATATGGTTTGCTGCTCTTTCTTTAATAACCTTTAAAGATGTTAAAAAAAAATTTTTTTTGTTTACTCTAACCTGAAGAAGACCCTCTTTCCTGTTATTTAAAAAATAATGTAAATTCCTGTTTTTGGAAACTACCTAAATTATCTTAGCAGTGTGTAGTCCTTGTGAGCATAGGCCAGTTGTGAAATTCATTAAGATCTACACATTAGCAACCTTTAGTGAGAAAGTGTAATATGATAACCCTCATCTTTGCATTGTGCCTTGAAGTTGTAGATTATTTCTCATATAAAACAGCATAGTGATTTTCTATGGCTGGTGTGTGTCTTTTTCCCCAAACACTGACTTTTTAAGAAGGGTATTTTAAATCAAGAAAATATTATTTACCTTAGTAATATATAAAATTAAATGATATTGAGGCATAACCTCCTAAATTTCTTTTCATGCATTTTCATTTATTTACTCATAAATATTTATCAAAAATCTACACTGAGGCAGGCACTGTGCTGAGCCTTAAATATACAGAGGAAAAAGAAATTTCTCCCTTCACATTGCTCATTGTCTACTGAAGGAGGCCGAAGAATAAATCCACATTTATAGTTCTGAGTAACGAGCCATGAAAGAAACATGCCTTGGGGCTCCATAGGAGGATGGAAGTATATCCTAAGGAATAGGACCTAGCCAGGTCAAAATTGTAAGCACATTCCAGCGCTTTCTAATATACCGCTGTTGTATTAGAAAGCTAATCTAGACAAGATGTGGCAAGGACCTAAAAACTAAGGTAATGATTGTAGAAATAAAGAGGAGGAAACAAATTTGAGAATGAGATAGGGTGTGTAAGAGAAAACCAAGGTGGCATACAGGCTGCACCTTTACAGGTGGGTTGGAAGTTGGTACCATTTATTAATTGTACATGTTAATATAGAGCCATTTCTCTTTGTGAGAAAAGCATGTTTCTTTTTGGGTATGGTTAATTTAGCAGGGTCTTAGATTTAAAAAAATGCTCAGGAGAAAGATAGGGACTATAAGTATTTAGTATTTATCATTAAAATGGGGTGATTAAAGTTATATGAGGTAAATTAAGGGGGTATAGGAACAGCTTCTACCAATGCGGTATTTTTATTTATTATAACAATTCAGATTTTTAACTAATTTTAGATTGGTATCCTGGTGTCTTCCATTTTGCTTTCTTTTGTTTTGTTTTGTTTTTGGAGGCTGGTCTTGCACTGTATCCTCCTGCCTCAGCTTTTCAAGTGCTGGGATTACAGGCATGTACAAGGCCACCAGGTTTTAGATGTCTTTATGAGTACCGAGGCATCTGTTAGACTCTTAGGTCATACCCAGTCCCATCCATACTATATTTAAAATCATTGTGAGTTGCTGCTGCAGATAATCTATCCATTTGTATTAATTTCTTTTAGTTTGCATTTTCTGAGGTTACTGTTTTCTGACATTTCCCATAAAATTGTAGCCTTAAAAATATTATAAGTATATAGCCATTTATGTGTTGTTTGCAGTGTTATTGTAACATTATTAGTTATAGTAGTGCTATAAATACTTTTGCCCTCAAAATAAACATTAAAATTGAGCAAAAGATTTCTAGCCAAAACATAAGAAATATATTAAATCTTCATATTTCTTTCAGCTTTCTCTACTGGAGCATTTTTATTCACAGCCCTTAAGTGTTCTGTGCTGCAATATTCCAGAAGCCAAGAGAAGAATAAATTTTTTATCAGTTAATCAATGTGAAAACATCCGACGTCTGCCATCGTTTAGGAGGTAAAAAGAGACGTACATATTTCACTCATCATATACTAGAGATTGGAGCAAAATAGAGAATCTCAGATCCAGTTGGTATTAAAGTAAGAAATGGAATAATAATCTTTATTTTGTTTTGGACAATATAAAACCATTGTATTTTTAATGATGGGATTTCTTTGTTGGATTTAAAAGTTTGACATGAAGAGAAATATTTTTACAAAATTTACTTGTTCTGTAGAGTTACTAGAATGTTAGAAATAACATTTCCTATTTATGATTAGACAAGTGTAGCGGATTTAAGGAGTTAAAAATTAGCATTCACCCTAAATTTATTTTTGAGAAGAAATGAAAAAAATGTGGCCCCCAATCTAGGTAATTATTTTTCTCCCTTATGGTATTCAGATACATAGATAGTTTAATTCTATCTCTCTCTTTTTTTTTTAATATATGGCATGGTAAAAATTACAGGTACGTGGAAAAGCAAGCTTCAGAAAAGCAAGTTGCGCTATTGACCAATGAGAAATTTTTGAAGGTAGGAATATAATTGTGTTTGTTTTGTTTTTCCTGCATGAGAAAAGAATATGCACATAAACGTTTATTGAGTTTATGTTATAAAATAGGCTTCTGTATCCTAATACATGCACAGAATGGTACTGAGTTGATAGTGAATTAGGAATATGAATATTAAAGATGACATGAAACCTTGACTAAAAGGTAAGGTTTTTTTTTCTTATCAAGAAAAATATTAGCAAAAATACTGTATTTTTCTTCTAATCTAGTTTATAAGCACTTTTAGATCTATAGAGATCTGCTATCTAGATATCTTTTCATGTAGCAATTTTAGAATTTGCAGGTAATCTTATTTTAGTATTCTTTTAAAGGCTGTCATAAATTGAAGCATGTAGAGGAAGCCAAGCAGCTTAGATACCTGCTGCTAAGTAGGTATTGATTTGATTTGAAGATATAATATTATATATTGATATATAATGCCAGGAGAGAAGTAATAAGCTATAAATTTATGAGTTAGCCCTACAACATAGGTAATACCACAAGGAGATCACTTGCTAGGAAGGTGCTCTTATCACTTGAGTCACTCCGCTACCTCTTTTTTGTGTTGAGTATTTTCAAGATTGGGTCTCACAAACCTTTTGCCTGGTCTGGCTTCAAACCACAATCTCCTGATCTCTGCCTCCCAAGTAGCTAGGATTACAGGTGTAAGCCTCTGGCACCTGACGGACATTTTCTTTTCTTGAATAAATAATGCTTGAACATGGTATATAACTGAAAAGATAAATACAATATACAGAGGAAACACTTTTACCTTTATTTTCCAACTACCCATTTCCCGTCCCTGAATACAACCAGGACTTATTCTACATATATACCAGTAATTATATATATATTTGGGAGCCACCCCCGTAAAGAAAAGTATAATACTATTCTGTTCCTTGTTTTGCACTTAATCTTGTTTATTCTACATTACTACTAAAGAGTGGTATTCTCTTTTGTATGTTTGTAAACTACAAAGTAAGAAATGAAACATTTACAAAAAAAAAAAATTACAAAAATTTACAGATGTTTTCATACACTTTCCTTAAATCATCTTGAAGTTAACTATTTACTACATCCATACAATTCTAGATACGGAAAAGATAATACTATAGAAATTAGAAGAGAAATAAATACAAGAACAAACAATCATGGCAAAGTTAATTTTTCCTTATTGTTTTTTCTGTGACTGAATTTTTTGAGTTTTATATGCACATTGGCTTCTCCAAAGAAATTGTTAATAGCAGCTGTCATATAAGTGAACAGCCTAGTATAGAAGTGAGTTTTGAATGACAGACAGGATTGTGGAGGTTAGAGGTAACAGACTTAAGAGAGTTTATTACACACTAAATGGCAATTCACAGCCTAATATAAGTGTGTTTTTTAGGTTCCTACTATTTTTTAAAACAGAACTGACATTTACAAATTGAGAACTTCTACATTTCAAATTCAGACTTTGTCTTTATTGAAAAATTAGGAAATCCCAGTCCCATCAAGACAACAAGTACTTGCTTGAATTTTGAAGAGAGAATGAATGGTGGCTTCTTTCATTAAAACGTCTTCAGCAGTTTTTTTCCTTACTCTTTTTTTCTTTTTTTGGTGCTGAGGATTAAACTCAGGGCCTTGTACATGCTAGGCAGGTGCTTTACCACTGAGTTACATCTCCAGGCCACAATAAATGTATTTTGAGAGGCTGTTGTGTGTTGGTTATTAGTTTTGGTGCTAGAATATAGAAATGAATACAACAAACAAAACCTGTTCTTGCATTCTATCCAGAGACAAACAAATAAGTAAAGTGTTTAATGCTAGTGATTACTGCTAATAAGGAAACAGTGAAATAGAGAAGGGAAATATAAAGTTTGATGTGTATGGGGAAGGAGTACAAATTTTGGGTAAGGACTTCACTGTGAGAAAATAGGTTTTTAATAAAGACCTAATGGAAATTATAGGGCTTGCTATGAAAGAATTTGGAGGAAGAGAGTTCCTAAAAGGACCCAAGATTGGAGTGCCACATTTGAGGAAGCATGAGGAGGCTGCTATTATGTATTTGTATATATTTGCTCTGTTCATTTATTTGCTTATTTTATTTTTATTCATTTATTAATTTTGGGGTGCAAACTTAAGACCTCACGCTCTACTATTTGAGCCAGACCTTTGTTTGTTTGGTTTTTTTTGCTTTAGTAATTTTTCCAGTAGGGTCTCACTTTTCTTCTCCAGGCCAGCCTGGACTTCGTTCCTCTACTTCACATCTCCCTCGAGCTTGGTATTGCAGGTGTGTACTGCCATGCCCAGATTTTTTATTTGTTGAGATCCTGTTGATCTCCACATCCTGAGTAGCTAGGATTATGGGAATGAGCCACCTCACCCAGCTTTGCTCTGTTTATTTTATAGCAAACTGATATTTCTATTCCTGTTTTGTCTCAAAAATTAGTAAATAACAGACTGGAGGCAGGGCACGCTTTGCTGCCAGGCTAGTATGTTCCAGACCCAGGGTTCAATCTCCAGTTGGGGGGGTGGGGAAACATGTTAATTTTGGCCTGATGTGGCAGTGCACGCATGGGATCCCAGCTACATAGGAGTTGAAGGTGGGAGAATCATGGTTTGAAGCTAGCCCAGACAAAAGAGCAAGACCCTATCTTTAAAAACAAGACAGATATGGTAGTGCATGCCTATAGAATCCCAGCTTGCAGACACAGAAGGTAGAGGTAGGACGACTGTGGCATGAGGCTGCCCCAGGAGAAAGTGGGAGACCCTAACTGAAAAATAAAAATAAACTAAAGCAAAAAGGGCTGAAGGTATGACTCAAATGGTAGGTAGAGCGCTTGTGTAACAGAAGTCTCTAAGTTCAAACCTCAGTACAACCAAAAAAAAAAAATCATTGACGATCAAGTGAACTTTATGTTTCATTAAATGAGATATAAATAGAATTATAAAATGATATGGTAACAACTATGAATAGTGTGTAGGAAAAAATGAGTAGAAAGTAGGATTCATATTTCAGCAGACTTTATGTTCACAGATAGGTAGTGGGAGATTTTCTCTTCAAAACATTTTTGCAGGTGTCAGTTTATAAAAGTGTCCACAAAGTGCCCTGGGAGTTTCCTTGAATAAGTGAAGGCAGCGACAGATATGTATATAAGACAGAGAACATAAAAGGCAGGTTACATGAAAAAGTAAATAATTTTTGAGGTTTTCTGTTCAAACCGGTAAGAGTATAGTCTTCAGTATAAAATGAATAAATATGGCAGAGATGTACTACACAATTAGAAATATGACGACACTAAGGATACCTGAGGAAAAAGCATGTTTACATCAGGCGCGCTAAGACACTCTGTAATGCCAGCACTGGGGAATCTGAGGCAAGAGGATAGCACATGCGAGGCCACCCTGGGCTACGTGGCAAGACCCTGTCTATAAATTAATCAATAAATAAATGCTTTTTAAAAATTAAAGTGAAAATACTCAAGTCTGTTGTATCACCCAATTACTTATACATGTAATTGCTCCACAAAACGAATAAAGTAGGTAATACAGATAGCATGAAATACAATTATTATTTTAATAAATTCCTTTAGCTCCAGAAACCATCCCTGTTTAAAAGCCATTTAAGTCTGGGTGCTGATGACTCATGCTTGTAATCCAAGCTTCTCTGGAGGCAGAAATTAGGAGGATCGAGGTGCCAAGCCAGCTTGGACATAGTCCAAGAGACTCTATCTTTAAAATACTCAACATAAAAAGGGACTGGTGGAGTGGTTCAAGTTGTAGAGAACCTGCCTAGCAAGTATGAGGGCCCTGAGTTCAAACCCCAGTAATGGCCAAAAAAATTAAATTAAAGCTATTTAAGCATACATCAAGGCAAACAGTCAATAGCCTCATGCAATCTTTATGTTACAGCTTATAGTAAAAATATAATTAAAGTACTCTTTGATTATGACTACTTTTATTATGACAAGAAACTTAGATCTTTTTTTTCTATTACTGATGAATTCATTCAAATAATAATAAGAAAGGACACTTGGACAGTAAAGATTTTCTTTCATTTGCCTTGTGCTTTCATGTAATGACCCAGACATTGATTAAGGAGTTGATTTCTAAGTGAGTTAGAATTTAGAAAAGTGTATCTGATTTGCTTGAATCTATTGATATATGTGATATTGTTTTCAGCATGGTTAACCACTAAAAATAATGGGTATCTGTAAGATACTACTGAAAGACCCAGCCCAGTAATTTAAGTCCTTTACTTGGTTTCTTAGACAACAAAAATAAAAAAAGAATACTTTTGAAAATGTTACAGGGAGGGGGAGGGGGAAGGGGTAAAAGGGGGTGGTGGCCCAAACAATGTATACACATGGGAGTAAATGTAAAAATGATAAAGTTTAAAAAGAAAAAAAGAAAGAAAATGTTAACAGAAGTACGTAGTTATAAAGAGAATTGAAAAGTGAAAAATATTGAGATAGGGTATAGTGTTTTTAAATCATTTCTAAACTATTTCAGAAAGCTTAAGGAAATGTCATACTCTTCCCTCCATCGTAAAATGTCTTTTGAAGCTGACTTACAAGATTAGTCTATCCACAGCCTTCTTTTTTGTTTTCTTTGCCCATTTTTTATTGTGTTAAAATATATGTGCATATATGTATATAGGACATAGTCTACCAACATTTGGTTTCAAACACCCCATGTCCACTCAGTAGTTCCTTTGTGGGAAGCATTTTCTGGAAAAGGGAAAAATTCATTTGTGCTGGTTCATACTTCATTTTGCTGAAGTGAGCACAATCATTTCCTTGCCTTGGTAAAACATAGAAGCCATTTTCATGGTAGTTCACAGGTAAGATGTCAAAGATTAATATGTGTCTGAACAATTCTTGGGATTTGGGACATCTTCTCAAAATGACTTTTTCATTCTTTAGTATGATAATTATCAGTGTTCCAAGCAATAAGACAGAAAAGCTACTGGTATAAGTACCTACAGACCTTCATCATTCTAGTGTTTTTCAATTATTACTCATGGTGAAACTGAACCTCAGCTTTTCAACCCCTTCCATAAATACTGAGTGAATGCTGAACTGATATTTCTCAATGGGAATAAAATGATCATGGATATAATGTGTGAAGGAATTCTAAGCCATTTAGTTTCATCATCATTAAAATTTTTCCCATTCAATAATAAAGTACATTAGATCATAACCACTGGATGATACTATCTAGGAAAGAATCACACAACTGCTGTTTAAAGGGTAAACACTATGTGACTGTACAATATTTACTTTGTCGTGGGCTATGCCAATGTTAGATTAAAATTCACAGAAGTAGCACCAATTGAATTGATGGTTAGACTGATAATTATATATGCTTGCTCTGTCCTCAGGAAAGTGAACTTGGTGTCATTTCCTGTATCTTCTGACCAAGTTCCATTGTGGGACATGCAATGCTTTTCCCACATACTTTCTCACACTGCACAGTGAGTCATTTTTTTATCAGAGGCTTTTAGAGGTTTCAATCTTACAGTCTCTTGGCTCTGTTCTTTCTGAGCAGTCATGGCAGAAAGAATGTGGAAGAGCAGATTTGCTAGACCTCAGTCTTAGGTTTCTTAGATTCTGTCCTCAATATTATCCTTGCTGGATTCTAAATTATAAAGCTTATTGGTGTCAGATTTCTCTTTCACTTTTCTCAGTTGGTAAGTTGAGTAAAACAAGGATTGGAGATTCCCAGCAAGAGGCAAAGACTTGACAAAATCAGCAGTAGTGTTTCTTCATGTTGTCTTCTTTTCCTCCAAATACAATTGAGCAGTACTTTAGGACATCATTCATCACAAGCAGAACTTCAGCTACTGTTAATTACATTGGTACTGCCCTCTCTGTTGATCTCTTCTAACGCCAGTGTGGTAGAAGGCAATAGACGTATATACCAGGTGATTGATACAGGCAGGCGAATGATAAAAGTGCTCTGTTGGACACTTATAATTTGGGAGGCCAAGACATTGTAGTGATGCCAGCAATACTACAAGATTATAGTGTCAATTCCAGTATTTAATATCACCAGTTGATATTGAATGAAAAATACCCAACCTTTATACTGGATTTGATATGTATTTTTTTTCATATGTAGTTTTCACGAGTTAAGACTAATTTATAGTTCTATATATCCTTGTCGGTTTTCTAGAAATTATATACATGTATACCCATGAAACACATTTTATTATCTTTTATTTTAGTGCCTTACATATTAATAATCTGTGATTTTTTTTTTTTTTAGGAGGAAACGCAATCACTACTAGAAAACCTGTACATTTACCATATAAATTACTTCTTGGTTTTGAGATGTCTTCATCATTTCACCTCTTCTCTTCCCAAGTACCCACTGGGCCGACAGGTATGTACCAAGTAGTACTATTTTTGCTCTGATTTCTATTGCATTCAGTCATCACTTGACATGGAGCCAATTCATACAGTAAAAGCACAATCCACTCCACCTGTACACATTACTGGTGATTGAAACAGTGCTTTTTATTCTGGTAGTCCTCAGCTAGAAACAGTCACATGGATCCCAGTGGTATTATGTCCTGTGCAATGTATTTGTGCTACAGCATATAAACCTTCCTTGGTTAACACTTCTTTTTCACCTATCCAGAGAGAGAGTTCTCTACTCCTAGTGAACTGAGAAATGGAATCTGTTTAAAAATGCTTATGGTCAACCTCACATTGCACCAAGAATTAAAAGAGACACAGTACTTCTGCTCCTTGCAAAATTATGCTCTGCTGACCTTTGTCATCTGTAGAATAGCTGTTAATGGAAGAATTCCTAATTTTCAGATCCTTAACTCAAAAGTTTTGGAGAACAAATACAAGAATTTTAAGACTGAATTGTTTTTGAGGTGATTTCTGCCATTGAGCCTTCAAAAGCCTTTTTCTTTCTTTTACCATTTTCTTATTGGAAAGTGTCTTTGATATCAGCCATTCCCAATGTTTTATTTTGCTTTTTTGTAAATTATATTTTTGTACTGTGTTCATGTAATACGTGCCATGAAGCTTGTTTCATCTAAAGAAATTAATGTTGTAATAACATTAATTTTTTGTGTTAAGCACATATGATTTTAATAAGGTAATGTGTATGACTTTGGGTTCCTCACAAATACATTGTTCACTTACAGATCAGAGAGTTGTACTGCACATGTTTAGAAAAGAACATATGGGATTCAGAAGAGTATGCATCTGCCTTGCAGTTGTTGAGGTAATTTTTTCGTTTTTCATTTCTTTTTTTGCATGCTCTGAGCCTGCCAGTAAGTAACACCTTCCTCCAGAGCACTGCTGCCAAAAAGTTTCATAAGTAGCCATATTGTGTCTAAGAATATTTGTATGTAGCTTATGGTGTTTTAAGGTAGCAGCCATGCGCTTCGTTATTAGACTTACCTTGTTTTTGAGTTTATGTCTTTTAAAGGAAAATCTGTGGTTGTTTAGTCAAATATTGACACTATACAAGGAGATCTCAGACATGTTTCTTTTTTTTTTTTCTTTTTTTTTATTCATATGTGCATACATTGTTGGGGCCATTTCTTCCCCCAACCCCCCTCACTTCTGGGCAGAACCTGTTCTGCCCTCTTCTCCAATTTTGTTGAAAAGGAGACATAGCAATAATAAAAAAGGCATAGCATGTTTTTTGTTGTTGGTTTTTTTGTTTGTTTGTTTGTTTGCAGTATTGGAACTTGAACTCAGGGCCTTGAGCTTGTTAGGCACTCTACCACTCAAACACTCCAAAAGACCTTTTTTGTGTAGGGTATTTTCAAGATAAGGTCTCAGTAACTACTTGCCCTGGCTGGCTTCGAACCATGATCCTCCTGATCTCTGCCTCCTGAGTATCAGGATTACAGGCGTGAGCCACCTGCACCCAGCTAGGCAGTTGCCTTGATGCCTTCCCCCACCTAAGCTGGCTCTGTCCACATTAACGTTGGATAATTCATAAATTATCTAGTGTTATATAAATAAGAGACCCTTTACCATCCCTGGCAAATGTACCTTGGGAAGTTTCAATCATTTGTATCTTTTGTTTTACTTTTTTTTTGGTTGTTTTATTTTGTGACAGAGTCCTGCTGTGTAGTGTTAGCTGGCTTCAAACTCCTAATCCTCCTGTCTCAACCTCCCAAATGCTAGAATTATAGGCATGCACCACCATACCTAGCTTTGACTTAACTTGTTAAATGTATGGTGGCTTCTTAGTATTCTATAAAAATAATGACCACTTGTTTAGCAAGAAAGAGAAGTCACATGTGAGCTAGACTTTTTTATATACAGGTTTAGGACTCTCTGCAGTAGATAAAAGTGCTCATGTGAACATAACTGAAGAAGTCTGGAAACTGAATGTTTTTGTAGCTTTAGTTTCCTCTGTGCCCACAAGAAAAGAACAGATGGGCACAGCAGGAGGGAAATTCACACTCAAAGCACTCTAAGTTCAGAAACTTAATAATACAAATGTTAGTGATCTAGCAGGTGCAGTCTAAGATGTGAAACTAGTTTTACGCTATCTGGAAAAATAACTCCCCATAGACATTGCATCACCACTAAAAAACTGTTGTTTTATTTCATTTTTTAAAATCCCAGTAAACTTTCTGTGTGTTTATAAATTTGAACTACAATATTTCTGGGACTGGTTTTGCTTTCTATTGAAGTAAACATCCTTATCTTAAAATACCCAGTTAATTAATTCTTACTAGATTTTCAGTTTTAATTTCATAATTAGTGGTTGTCTTCCTTCTTTAGTTAGTCTTCCTAAATTCATAGATTGCTTTGTCAGAGAATTTATTCATTTCCTTCTGAGCTTCTGTGGTCTGTTAATCTTGGAGTACAGCCCATTCCAAGTAGGGTATAATAATAGTAATGGTGACAATAGTAACCACCATTTGTTGAAGGCTTGCTATGTACCAGGCCCTATCTTTGGCACTTTCAGTACATTTTCTGATGTAATACAGTACACCTTAATGGCATATACTATGATTCGTATTTTAATGCAGAGGAAACTGAAGCATGAATAGCCATTGAGTGACACCCTTGAAAATCACATAGCTACAGATAAAACAATGAGAGGGTTTTTGTTATTGTTGTTTGTGTTTGTTTGGTTGGTTTGGTTTTTAGACAGGGTCTTGCTATTTAGACTGTGTAGACTGACCTCAAACTTGTGATTCTTATATCTCAGACTACTAAATACTGGGATTACATGGATGTTCCACCACAACCACAGTACCTTGAACTATTCTTTGCCAAGATCTAAAATATGAGTATGAGGCTCTGAGAAAAGCAGAAACAATAAAGAGAAAGTACAATTTCAGTCATTTTGTTAAGCTGAAGTCATAAATACAGTCCATCAAAAGCATAGAAATGTGAAAAACACTGCAGATCAAATATAGCGGCTATAGCAAGGACAAGTAAGTTTGGGTACCACAAAAGAGGAAAAGTGTCTGTGAGCTCCCAGACTGGGACTAATCTTTCCTCCTCTGCTCATACTAGATGGGGACAAAAAGTCAGGGACACTTTTCCATTTAGGAATTCTTATTCTCTGTTGTCAAACTTATTTTCAGGTCATGAGAGGGAATAAGATGAAAATGATCACTGAATGTTGATTTGGAAAGAAAGTCTGCTAACATACTATTAGGAACAAATATCTTCATAAAATTTTCAGTTTGAATATTTTTGTAAAAATGAAATTAAAGAGCAACGCATGGTGGTGCATGCCTATAATCCTAGCACTGGAGTGGCTGAGGCAGGAGGATCAGTGATTGAGGCCAGGCTGGACTATAAAGCAAAATTCTGTCTCAACAAAAAGGAAAACAACAACAATAAAAAATTAGCTTAGAAGACAATATTTCTCTTGAAAAACTCTTTTTTTCTAAAGACCGCCATTTTTAAATAACCATTGAACTACCTGATGTACTATTTCATGGCTGTTTAAAAATATCTACGGGGAGTCAGGCATGGTGCCACACAGCCTGTAGTCCTAACTACTCAGGAGACTAAGGCAGAAGAATTGCTTCTGCCCAGGAATTTGAGGCTAGACTGTACAACATAGCAAGTGAGACCCTGTCTCAAAACAGCAACAACAATAAAAACATTTATGAGGAATTTTCATAACATTAGCAAATGTCACATATTCATAAGGGGAAAAAAAGACAGAACTTTGAATGTTTTTTTAAAATTATGTAACAGCCATTATTTTGTGGTGGGGGGGGGTGGGGTGGGAATCATGCAAGTATGCATTTGTAATAGATGTCCTAATTTGACAATGGTAGTTATGCTATAGATCTTCTATAACTGTTCCTTAAAAAAAAGTCAGTGAAGAATGAAAGATATGAGTTAATATTGTTATATAAGAATATGTTTTAAGATAAGTTGTGACTTGGGAACAAGAAGTAAACAATGATGCTAACCCAATAGAGAGCTGAGTGAATACACTGCTTTTCCTGATCAGCTGTGAAAGACTTAACAAAGAAAAATTTACCTTCCTATAGGAGAAAATTTCTAAACACTCACCAAAAATTAAACACTAAACCAAGAATTTTTCAGACTTCTAAAGTTTACAGAATCTTGTATAAATGATAAAGTGTTTGGGTTTTTTTTCTTTTTTTAACTGTACTGGAGTTTGAACTCAGGACCACCTGCTTGCTAAGCAGGCATTCTGCCACTTAAGCCATGCCTTTAGCCATTTTTTGCCATAGTAATTTTTGGAATAGGGTCTTTTTGCCCAGGGCTGGCCATGGACATATGCTGGGATTACATACATGTACCACTGTGCCCAGCTTATTGGTTGAGACTGGGGTCTTGCTAACTTTTTGCCTTGGGCTGACCTTGAACAATGATCTTTCTAATCTCAACCTTCCCAGGAGCTGAGATTACAAGTGTGAGCCACTGAGCCGAGCTCATATGTGAAGTCTTGAGGGTGATATAAACTAGAGTCCTCAGTTTATAGGAACTGATGGATCAGCTCAACCTGAAGCATACTGTACTCTCCTATCAGTAGCAGTGAACTCTTGAGGATAATAAAACATTTGCCCCAATTCTGAGGGAAATTTGCTTTTTTCTCTACCTCTATCAGTTGAAACTTACTCATCTACAGTTATCTTATTTTCTTTCAAACAAGGAAACCAAGGCCAGAAACATTGACTTTTTTTCTAGTTGACAGAGTAGAACCTTAAGTCAAATCTTCAAAGTCAGTACATTTTTCAGCCCTATTCCAATTATTTGAGAGGTGACTGTAAAAGGAAATGTATGGGATTTAGGCCCATAGATCATGTTCAGAGTATATACACAATTTTACAATAAGCCAGGAGTGGGAGTTTCTGCAGACTCAAACACACCATCCCCCACCTTAACACTCATCTGCAGCACAATGTACAGACGCAGTTTCCTCTGCTCACCCCAAGTGTAACCTTAGGAGCTTACTGTAAGAACAAACTTACACATTGAAGTTGACTGACAGCCAAAGGAATTTAAGTTGAATGGAATTGTTCTAATTTCTGAGTAAGGCTTTTGACTTTAATAGTAATATATAAGCAGGTCGGCTCAGCTTTCATTGAACTGAAAAAAAAAATGATCTGAATAATACTAACTTTTTTGATCATGTCAACTTAGTTCAAAGAGATTAGAAATTTGGAATTTAAATAATGCATTGTTTCCTGACTGCAGAGCAACTTTAGAGCTAAAGGTGTAGTTGGGAAAATTGACATGACTTCACAATCTATGATATGCTTATAATATTCTAGATTTATGTATGCAAGAGCTATAAAATATAGCCACCAAAATGTAACTTCATTGTTTTGGAACAGGATTGCCACTCCTGAATTTGCATTACATTAGGCTCTCCATAATTATCTATAGGCTTGGCATGAAATAAGCCAAAAATTAAATTATTGACTATTAAAAGCATAATATATTGAGTCACTTTTTTGAGTAATGGTTTTCATGCTTTAGGGTGCATAAGAATCAACTAAGGTGTAATAAACATGTAGATTTCTGCCATCTTCCTAAAGATTGTGAATATACTGCCGAGAACCTGGATGTGATAGAGCTATAGTTTGGATGTGGTTCATACAAAGATTCATACATTGGAAGCTTAGTCCCTAGTATGGCATTATAAGATACGGTGGAACCTTTAAGATGTGGCTGCAGTACGGTGTGCTTAGGTCACTGGAGGAACTGTCCTCAGAAACAATTAATGCTGATCTCACACAGTAAGTTAGTTCTTCT